ACTTTAGTTCATACCCTTTTTGTGAGGTCGCTTTCCATTGTTCACATATGCTGGAGGCCACAATTCTTGTTTTAACTAAATTTTATTATGCTTAATATTTTGTTTGTGTTGATTATATGAAAGCATAAAAATGATCAAGACATTTTTGTTTCATTTTGAGCACAACTACCTAACCAAATATCTAATTGTCCTTGTGAATGTGTGATCATTCGTAACCCCTTTAAGCCTTTTGTCATTGTCCATATTGTTTGAAATTGATGATTGTCTATAAGTATTGATTTCACTTTTTGTATGGATTTTGATTGCTGATTTTTTTTCTTGAACCCTCAAATTTGTGTTGTTGTGTGAATTTTTACCTTGCCTTAGAAAGTAGGGAGTATTCACATGATAATGTTGGTTGAATTCAAGTTGGGGAGAAAAATGATTGTGCACTTGTGGTTGATTTCTATGAGGTTGAGAAAGAAAAATAATTTAAAAAAATAAAAATAAATGATAAAAATAAAAGAAAAGAAAAAAATGAAAAAGCTTTGAAAAAGAAAAACAAAAAGAGTTCAAATAATTGTGTGAATAAGTATTGTGATTGGTTTGAGAAATTTGGAATGAAGAAGAAGTTTGATTGAAATTGTGTTGCTTGAGTCTTTGTGAGTCGATCACTCCATTAGGTTAAGGCAAGTTTTTGTTTTGATTAGTTTTAGGACTTATCCTTTATTTGTTTACCGACCACGCTACAACCTTGAAATGTCCTTGTAATTCTTGATTTTATATCTCCAACATGAATTTTTGGATGAGTGTATAATTTAATCTTTTGTTTGCAAGGTTGTTGGATGAATGAAAATACCTCATTTTTGTGTGTTTGTCATCTACCGATGATTAATTTTGTTATGTGTGATTCATTTGTGAACAAGTGTTGTTTTAGAATGTTTGACATGATTTTTGTATTTAGCATTTATTTCGGTTTATGTTATAGTCATAATTTAGTGGTAATTGTTTACTTTATGTGTATTATTTTTCATTTGAACCATTTCATTTGTTTTCTGTTTTCAAAACTTGTCGATTCATGATTTTTTGGTTGATCATTTTTGTTTCTTCGAGTTGTTTGTTTCTTGTTTAGGGACAAACAAGTTCAAGTTGGGGAGAGTTTGATAAGTGAAAATTATAGCTCTTTTTCTATATACTTTTTGTTTTACTTATCGACTCTTTATTGTTAATTTCGGTTGAATAAACCTGACTTTTGTGTAAATATGTATACTTTACGTATTATTAAGTTTTTGATTCATTTCTGTACCATTTAATAATTTTACTGTCTTTTTGTAGGTATTTTTGTATATTTGGAGCATCGGGGAATAAGGTGTTGAAGGCACGGCTCCGGATATGCATTTTTGCTCTCAACTCCATCAACCTCCAATTTTGTTAGGATTAGCTTAGATAACAACTATGGAGCTGGCATACAGATGATCCGGGGTGGATTTCTCTTTGATCGACACTGACAAACCGGTAGATCTGTGGTTCATTTCTATTTTTCTTTGTTTATTCTTTTTTGGTTTGGTTTGTATATGTATTTACTTTAATCTTATGTATATTTGTCACCCTTGACGTTATATAAAACTTGCTTTACAAATCTTTGTCGATTGTTGTCCTGGATTTTTGCTAGGTGGTAGAGATTTGGGTTATTATAGACATATACTGCTTGAATTCTTATCTAAGATGATAGTCTGTTAGTTTCTGAATTCTAGAGATAGATTTATAGTTTACATTCACTTGTGTGATTAATGCCTCTATGTTGGTTGTGTCACTCTGAGAGATCATCGACGCAATTAGTATGGTTGACTTCTGTGTTATTGAGGTGCTTGAGAGATTGCTACCGAAGTGATACAGTTGGCCTCTCAATTTGGATTAGAAATGACTTAGGTTGTGAGTGATATGTGGTGACATTGAGGAGTATTGTAGGTTGAGTATAATAGGTCGATAGATTTTAGTCAGTGAGGAGTGGATTATATGCATGCTTGATAAGTTATTCTTTTTTCCTTCTTATACATTTAATTTATGTTGATAACTTTTACCCTTTAAACCATTCAACCCCTAAATTTATTAACGAATGATTTGTCGAACGACGACTCGATAACCAATCTATGTGGATACGATACAATATAACCTAAATATCACACGGTAAAATAACACTTTACTTTTTACTTGTCGCTTTACCGCTCCAGCACCTTTACATGGGTAACGCACAGATACTCAAGAGTAAAGAAGCTTATGTGAGTGAGAGCTAGCTCTTGAAGCTATATTCTTTTAGCTTTTTTGTTTAAGTTTTGATTTATGCTCTGTTATGTAACACTGGGGAGTGATTTCTAGTTTTATATTGAGATTTTGTGAGTGACGATATATGCTCTCATATGTTTATGTTTGAGTGTGATAAGCATTTGGAGAAGACTTACAAGTAAATACTTTTTATTTTAATATGAAATTTTATGGTAAGACTTAAATTGTTGTGTGTTTTAATTATGATTCCGTTGCAATGCTATCAGATGAGTTGGATGTCGTGTAAACATCCCAAATACATACAAGATGAATTGATGTCGTGTAAACATCCTGGGTGCAATTGTGTGTCTTACAATATTGTGATGTAATGTTTATTTAAATTAAGTGTTACATGATCAACATGTGTTTTGGAAAAGTGTAAGATCCTATGTGAAAAGTATGTGAAAAATCTCTGATTTGATTACAATTATGCATTTGTGGAAATATAGTGTTACAAAAAGCAACAACAATAACCAAAAAGCTAAAGAACAGAGATACATTAGACAAAAATCAATAGATCAAGAGAGAAACTGTGTATCCAATCGAAAAAACATTTAATGGCCTGAAAAGAAAAGAAGGGATGATGATATTAACATGAAGAACAAAAACTTGATAACAACTTTTATTAAAAAAGCATGCAATATTCGAACAAACACTGATGAAATTAATAACATGCTTCTGAATAATCATGATCGTTATTTGAAACCCACTAAGGAGCAATAGTTGAACCTGAAAAGCAACGAGCAAATCAAGAATAAACTTCGTACAGATTTGAAAAGTCACAAGCAAGATAACAACATTAGTCAATTGAAGATCAACACTGATAATGTTACGAACAATTACAAAAAAATAGTTAACATAACATAATGGGTGCCTCCAATGAAAGGTTGGACGAAAATCAACACTAGCGCTAGCCTCATTGAAGATGGGTACTAGGGTTCAGGAGAAATCGTCGGCAATGATAAAGGTCATATTATGAGCATACATGCGAGCAGAACTAAAGGGGACAAAGACCCTCTCGCCGTTGAGGCCATGGCTATGAAACTCGCTATGTAAAAAGCTCTAGAAAAAGAGATAAACAAAATCGAGTTTGAATCGGATAACTTGATTTTGGTCAGAGTGATGAATGGTAGAAAGGACGACATCCCTAGAAACACTGTGGGAATACATTTGTCATGCGGTGTGGAAGCTGAAACGAAAGTTTAATAAGGTAAAAATTTAACATTCGAGAAGAGGAAACAACATGGAGGCACACTAACGAATTAGGATATGTGTGACTAAGAGCAACATCAATTATAAAATGGATACCATAAGTGGGCCTCGGGTTCAATTGTAACTTGATTTTTTGGTTTAATAAAGTTTATCTTTTGTCAACAAAAAAAAAAAAAAAAGCAAGGTGAAACTTGAAGCTTTCAAACCTCAACCAATTTAACAATCTCTCCATTAAGAATGCATAAACCTGACCAACTTATTTTAAATATTGAATATCATTAAGAGTTCTGAATCTTTCGTCTTTATGATTTCCCACTAGATCACCTATCTTACACCATTCCTCCAGAGATATAAATCCACACTATCAATGATTTTATCTTTGATTACTCTACAAATATTGAGATATCGTAAAAAAAAATATCACTTGCTCGTTACATATTAAGTGATTTCTTTTGAACACAAAGTCTAAAATTCCTAGCCCTAAAATTTTATTGAGCTCTTCTCACAAAGTTCAAATACCTAATCCTCCACTTTTTTTAAAACAGCGAGATCAATCAAACGGCTCCAAACACGCCACGTGTGATCAAGGAATATTCTAAAACCTCACTGCAAATTGAATATACTCGTGCTAGTCTCTCTTTCTTCTTTAACTTCCTCTTAAAGAAAGCTACATTAGTACATTACATCGTTCCGTGTGATACAAGCTAGGGTTTCAAATTTCAATTCCATTCTTGTTATACAAACTTTCAAAACACGCACACTTATTCCATTTATATAAGGTACCAATTATCCATATTTTTCTTCCTTTTTTGTCCTAAATTCCAATTGTTCTTTCAGCTTTCAATTTATTTTTCCTCAAATCATTTTTTCTACAGAAGAAACATCAAAGTTCAATTTTGTTTGTTAAATTGGATAATCAAATTAAGCACATGTGTCAAAATATAATTGGATTCAATTGAGTTTTTTTTATTACTAATATTATTATATGCTTAAATTTTATAACTATTAGGTATTATTAGCTATATTTCAAAGTTTTGATTTTTTTTTTTTCATTTGATTCCGGTTTTTATGAAATTTAATGTGTTTATTCAGTGTATATACCTTTTTTAGAATAGGGGTTTATTTTAAGATTTGTAATAATGTGCTGACTATGATCTGTAATAATGTCAATCTATTTTGATGGTAGAAAACAGAAAACAGGTAACAATGAACTGTGTTTGTTGTTTTGCTAGAAATCCAACGTTAATGATTTTATCTTTTATTTTGATTGTTAATTTTTAGTTGTTAGCAACAGCAACACTTTTTAGTTGTTGAGATTTGAGTTTTTTTTAGCCATTTTGTTTAGATGATTTTTTCCCTTTTTTGATTTGTAGTTGATGAGTAATTGTTTTATAGGTTCATCTAACAACATATATTACTGCTGATTTGAGAAAAGTCTGTGCAAATTTGTTCTTTGTGAAAGTTCGATTCGACGTGAATGAACGGACATGGCTTTTGCCCATCTTTCGTGGTGGTTGTCGGGTAAAAAACATGGAAAACAAATATCAAAAGTTTATTCTGTTATAAAGGAACTGGATGTTTTGAGATTTCCGGAGGAAATCTCGCCTTCGGGAAGGGTGAAGCAGAAAAGACATGGTAGGGACGAGGGGAAAGTTGATAAGGAATGTGATTTTGTCATCGTTCCGTCTGACGGAGAATGCATTTCCGACGTTGAATCTGTTGATTCTGATTGGTCTATTGGCTGGTTGGAGCCTCACGGAAAGGGGTTTTCTCGTGATGATGATGAAAGTAATGAATCAGATAACAGTTTCGCTGTGCTTGTTCCTTGTTATGGAAGCAACTATGGTGCCATGTTCGAGGAAGGTCCTAAAAACAACTTATTAAACAATGTTGGGTTCTTCTCAGATGGTAAGAATACTTCCACTATCATTTATGCGATATATTTCCTCTAGTTATTCAATGAATCTAAAAAGTAAATTTTCTCTTATAAATAAGACCAGAGGAAGAATTTTTCTTCGGCCGATAAAATATTAAATGTTTATGGTTACTTTGTCATGTGCAGAGAGCAAGAAACATGTGGAAAATTGGATATCTTCACTTCCTAATGCCTGATGCAAAAACATTTATGGCAATGTTTCTGCACTATAGAGAGACTCTGCAAGTGTTGATTTGTTAAAAAGTTTATTTATTATTTTTAGCAATAACCAGTTGTAGACTCTAATTATAGAGGAGAAAATAATATGGATCAAAATCTTTATTGTAAATATATATCTGTATATATAAAGTGTATATTAAATAAATTAAATATAAATTAGTTTATTTATGTTTAAATTTTATAATTATGTAAAACAAAATTTCGTGAAAATTAATGATTAATAATTAATCTAATCCAAAGATGAAAATAATAAATTTGGGAGGTTTGTGTAATGTGGAAAATTGTCTTAACAAATTTTTTGGTTGTGAAAGGATCTAATGCAACATAAGCCTATGATTGTGGCGAAGTATACTCCTCTTCATATCTACCCCACAACAAACCTTTTTTTTTGTTTTTTCATATTCATCTTTCTCATCTTGTTGGTTTTGTTTATCTTGAAAATGAATCAAGGTTTTATTTTATTTACCTTGATGGGTTGAATGTGTTTGATTGTAATCTAACATAAAGATAAAGATGTTGCGAAGAGCTGCAACCAATGCATATTCATGGTGGTGGGCTAGCCACATTAGAACCAAACAATCGAAATGGCTCGAACAAAGTCTCCAAGGTATGTATGTTTGTGTCTTTTTCTACGCAAAAGTCCATCATGATTTCGATTTCTTGACTATGTCTGCTAAGAATGTCGAAACAATTAAATAAATATGTTGTAGAATTTGATTCAAATGTCTTAAGCAAAGTCTTGGATTCGAGTCTTGTGGAGATAGAAACATGATTGAGGAGATTTGAGTCTCCAAACAACTTGAATCACATTCTCATTCCCTGTCAGTATTGTCTCCTGTGTCAAAATATCATTCAGTCATTGCAGTCAGAGATATCGGCCGTTGGATTAAGACCAGATACTCGTGTTTCAATTCCATGTATAATATAAATACAAACACAAAATGGCCGAAATCATTTGCATGCGGTAACTGCATGATATTTCCAATGCATCTAATCGAAATCTAAATATCCGACCTTAAGAATTTTAATCGATCATTTGCTTTGGAAGAAAAAATTCAATCCTAATGACATACTACCAAAATATTTGACAGATATGGAGGAGATAGTAGCTGAAACGCTCAAAATCATCGATGATAGTGGCGACTCATTTGCCCAAAGGGCTGAAATGTACTACAGAAAAAGACCAGAACTGATAAATTTTGTGGGAGAAGCCTTTAGAGCATATAGAGCATTAGCCGAGAAATATGATCATCTGTCAAAGGAACTTCAAAGCGCGAATCGCACAATTGCCACCGTCTTCCCGGAACAAGTCCATTACAGAATAGACGAAGAAGAATTCGAGGACGCGGAATGTGGTTTCCATGGAACCAATTTATCGTCTGCTGACATTAATAACCAAACAGAAAAACAATGTAACATTCCTAAACCTCCGAGTATCCCGAAGAAGGTTTTTCGAAGTCCATCTATGTTGCTCTCAAGAAAAGGAACAACTAAAAAGAATTTAAGTCCTGCAAAATCTGTTTCAAATTTAGCGGTTCAATGTTCAGGTTTGAGCGAGGTTGAAGCATTAGCCGAAGTAGACAAGCTTCAGAAAGATATTTTGGCTTTGCAGACTGAGAAAGAGTTTGTAAGGAGTTCATATGAACATTCCTACGGAAAGTATTGGGAAATCGAAGACAAAATTACCGGAATGCAAAAAAGAGTTTATGCCTTGCAAGACGAATTCAGCATTAGTACTGTCATTGAAGATAACGATGCTAGAGCTTTAATGGCCGCCACAGCTTTAAATTCATGTAAAGAAACTCTTAGTAAGTTGAAAGAAGTACGATCACAATCATCAGAAGAAGCTAGAGAAACATACAAAAAAGTTAAGGAAGCTCATTACAAATTTGAAAACCTTAGAGGTAACTTCATTTCCAAGCAAACAAATCAGCAAGACGATGAAACAGATTCAAAAAGCAAAGATGAAGAAGAGATAGCACTTAGCTTGGAAGAAGATACACTTGAGCATGATATAGGGATGTTGCAAGAACGGATTAAGGAAAAGCTCGAGGAAGATTCAGGAAACTCGTTTACGATGATTGCAAAGATGATTGATGAGCTTGTAAGTAAAGTAGTGAGTTTGGAAACAAAAGTTACTTCTCATAATGGATTGGTAAAGAGATTGATATCAGAAGCAGATGAACTTCAAACAAATATACAAAGCTTAGAAGAGGATAAGGAAGTGCTTATGGAAGATTCGGAAAACAGTAACATGAGGATGAAAGAATTGGAAGATGAACTGAAGAGAGTTAAAACTCTCAACCAAAGTGTCAAAAGCCAAGATAAGAATCTCCAAACACATTTTCATGAAGCTAACTTTAATCTCGAGCATCTTTCAGGAAGATTGAAAAATGTGAAGCTAGACGAGGAAGACGACAATTTGGTACTTAACAAGAACACAAGTTTTTCAGATGGGAAACTAAGTGAGGATTCCGAAAAGCATGTAGATGAACTTTTTAGTGATAATTTAGAAATCATGAATGATCATGTCGAGACAACAAATGAGGATAAGGAAGATCATGATGCAAATATTGATGAAGTCGTAAACGAAGATGATAAGACTGAAGGGATGTCGGAGCTAACACAGCAGGATAAGGATGATTTGTCTGAGACGACGAGTAAAGTTGAAGTCGAACCACTTGATTTAGAACCTGTGGAGGAAAAAGATCGAACTAGCTTGAATCAGATGCTTGTAAATGGATCAGGTGTCAGAGAAAAGATTATGTTGGAAGAGTACACGTCAGTTTTGAAGAACTATAACGATGTATCGGACAAGCTCAACAACGTGGAAAACAAAAATCGGAACAGCATTTTCGAATTGGCACTTCAGGTAAAAATATCGTGCTTTACATATATAGATATACTTCTTAGAATGACTATTGAAAATAAGTTAATAAGTTATCTGCAGGTGAGGGAATTGAAGAACGTAGTTGCCACTAAGGATGAAGAGATACACATTTTAAATAAGAAGCTGACATCTTCAGAGCCAGATGAAAGTCCTCGCGTCACTCTCTCCGAAGAAGCGCCTCTTGAAAACGCGGATCAAGGAGATAACACACAGGGTCCCGAAACTCTATCTTCAGAAATAGCTAGCACTTCTACTGAAGATCAACCGCAACCTGTTGAAAACACGGGACACTTCGACGTGTCATCTATTGGAAAAACAAGATTAATTGTGGTTCGAGAAAAACAGATTGACAAGCCACATTCTCTTTCACCTTTAGAAAGGAAACTCCGTTTGGAAATCGATGATTTACTCGAGGAGAATTTAGAGTTTTGGTTAAGGTTCAGCACTTCGGTTCATCAGGTTCAACAGTTCCAAAAATCTTTACTAGACTTAAAAGCAGAACTAAGAAAAGCAAAGCATAATAACCTTTTTTCAGAAAACAAGATATCATCAAAAGTTATACAATCAGAAATAAAACCAATATTTATGCATTTGAGAGAAATACGGACCGAGTTATCACTATGGTTAGATCACAATGAAGTGTTGCAGGATGATTTACAAGCTAGACATCCATCGTTGTGCAGCTTACAAGATGAAATAGCAAGTGCAGCGAATCCAGATACATCCTTGAAGAGAGTTGAACTCAGCGAGTATCAAGCTGCAAAGTTTCAAGGCGAAGTTCTCAACGTGAAACAAGAGAGCAACAAGGTTTCTAGTGAACTACAAGAAGGTTTGAGCTATGTAACAGGACTAAAAATCGAAGTCGAGAAAATACTCGAAGAATTGAGTCAAATAATGGGAGTTAACAACCCTGATCACATAAAACATTCATCATCGAGTCGCACTAGATTACCTTTGAAGTCTTTCTTATTTGGAATCAAGTTGAAGAAACAAAAACAATCAATGTTTTCATGTGTTAATCCAACATTGCAGAAACAATACAGTGATCTTACAGCAGCTAATGATGCACCAATATAGACATGTTTTCGACTTTATATTCTGATTCTGAATTTGATTATTTCTTCTTCTTTTGAGATTATTTATGTTATGCTTCAAATAGTGAGAATGTTAGGATATAGAAAATTCTCCTATGTATAAAGCATGCCTGCATTTACATGTGTGTATGTATTTATTTAGAGAATATAGAAGATTCTTTATTTTCTTTCTAAAAACGCTTATGATTCTTCAAATGTTTTGATTATTCTTCTTTCTTTTGAAAAACTTCTGGTTCTTCAAATGCTTCAATTATATCTTCTAATATAGGTACAAAATCTACTGATTCTTCTAATGCTTCAATTTTCTAATAGTAAATGATAGGTACAAACTTGATGTTTGAGTAAGCTATTCTTAAAATTCATTTTATTGAAAAATGGTTTTTATGTTTAAAATGAATAAGATATTTTGATTAACTTTGGAAAAAAATTATATTTTTATTAGAAAGGAGAGAAACACATTACTTATTATGAATGTACTTTTTCAATCATGGTAATAAAAAACTATTTTAACATATATTCAACTTGAATGTTTTTTCATTTTGTTGTTTATATATTTATTAAGTCTCTAAAAAATAATCACCAAAACATTTATATACAAATGATTTTTAGATAATCCAAAATAAATAAGGGTGGATTTTTAAAATTATTCTCCAAATTATTTATATAAAAATTATTCCTATACAAAAATCAATCTAGTTAGTGATGAAGTGTAATTTAACCATTCATTAGCTAATCGTCAAAAGGACAATTTATAGTACCTTCTAAAAAACACACATTTATACAAATCCTTTTACCACTCCTACTGTAAAAATCTGCAACTCACAAATCCATAATTAAAAAATTACATAATTGCAAAACATATTAATTTAAGCAGTATGTATATATTTGCCTAAAATCACTAGATACCACTACCAGTTTTCAATTTTCACAAAGCACTTCCTAACCTTGACAACATTCATCCTTGTTTTGTAAAATTTAAGTGTTTCTCATTCCCGTTTTGAGGGTTAGAGCTTCCATTAATAGAACTTGCCTTCTTGTCTTGATTTTGAAATTGACTTTCCTTATTCAAATTGTTATTTCCACTTGCATTGGCCTTGGGGATAACAATTGAATGCTTAACACTTCCTTGCTCTTCAGGCCCCCCCTGGATTTTGTGATACTACTTTACGTTCCAAAACTTTCTCGCTAGGCATGCTTTTGGCTTTAGCTAAATCTAGCCCCACCTTATCCTGTTTGTTATCTACATGGTTCTGAGTTAATGTAGAAACTCTTTTTTCTGGTTCTTTCACAGAGGTTACAAGTTTATCCTGTTGAGACAACATATACTAAACAATTAAGCAAAGAACTATCCAATTTTAGAGAGAAATAGATTTTTGATATATGAATTGCATGACACGAAAAATAGACAAGATACAATTGAATGAACCTTTTGGTCAGAAGGCAAACCAGCAGAAATGGATGTCCTTGTCAAAGAACTACCAGCAGGCACTGTGTGTGCCACATTTTTCTCTATCGCCTTCTCTTTGGGTGTGGAGCCAGGATCAGAAACTCTTTTTTCCTGTTCTTTCACGGCGGTAACATGTTTATCCTGTTGAGACTAAATACAAAATAATCAGCAAAGAACACCATTTTTAGGGAGAGAATTTTTAATATTATTAATTGCATGACAAGAGTAAACGATAAGGTACATTTGAATGAACCTTTTGGTTAGAAGGCAAGCCAGCAGAAATGGATGCCTTTGCCATAGAACTACCAGCAGGCACCGGATGTACCACATTTTTCGGTAGAGAAACCTTTAATTGTGGTGAAGCATTTGGTACTGCATTTAATCGAGATATAGTTTGTGCTCCAGAGTGAGCAATGGCAGGTTTTAACACGCGCGCCAAAATTGCAGCATTTGGTACTGCATTTGATCGGGAAACAGTTTGTGCTCCAGAGTGGGAAACAGTTTGTGCTCCAGAGTGAACAATGGCAGGTTTTAACTCGCGACCTGAAATTGCAGCATCTGGTACTACTGCATTTGATCGTGAAACAGTTTGAGCTCCAGAGTGAATAATGGTAGGTTTTAACTCGCGACCTGAAATTGCAGCATTTGGTACTGCATTTGATCGTGAAACAGTTTGTGCTCCAGAGTGAATAATGGCAGGTTTTAACTCACGGCCTGAAATTGCAGCATTTGGTACTGCATTTGATCGTGAAACAGTTTGTGCTCCAGAGTGAATAATGGCAGGTTTTAACTCACGACCTGAAATTGCAGCATTTGGTACTGCATTTGATCGTGAAACGGTTTGTGCTCCAGAGTGAATAATGGCAGATTTTATCTCGCGAGCTGAAATTGCAGCATTTGGTACTGCATTTGGTCGTGAAACAGTTTGTGCTCCAGAGTGAATAATGGCAGGTTTGATCTCGCGAGCTGAAATTGCAGCATTTGGTACTGAATTTGGTCGAGAAACAGTTTGTGCTCCAGAGTGAATAATAGCCGGTTTTAACCCGCGAGCTGAAATTGCAGCATTCGGTACTGGATTTTCAGAGGTTACTGTGGGTTTTGCTGAGGAACCACAAGCTTGTTGAGATGGACGCTGAAGCGGTACAGAACTACGAACTGAGGAGACTTGTGTCATATTACGAGACTGGACTTGATTATTAATTGACATGGATGTCCTACCTGCGACCGTTCAAGTTATTCATATACCTCACTAAAGCAATAGCCTTACTATAATAAATGAGTCATTTAAAATGACTTATAAATAACAATTTTTCTATTAGATTCATGAGCTTTACATTGAAACTATGAAGCTATAAACAACACATTTTCTAAAAGATTTACGGGATAACATTTAATATTGCGGCAATGGACACAGGTTATAGTAGAAAAGTAATACTATTTGATGGGATCGAGAGAACGGGAAAGTCACTGTGGTATTTTACTCCTGCACTGAACTGCAAGAAGTCCACCTGCAGGATGGTGACGGTAATGTGCTCCTTCAATGTTCTCCTATAATTGTGCTTTCATATTTACCAATAACAAAATCGATAGGTACATTCAATGGCAACAACAACTTAGCCTTTGACTACTACATGGAGTAAGCTATATGGATAGGACGATGCCATATGCACTAAGTTTAGAGAAATAAATCAAACCACCATAATACCTTAAATGTACTAATAGTTTAAAGTTCCAAATTTAATTACTATAGCAAAAATATATCAAACCACCATAATAAAATATCATATATAATGGAGAAAAAAAATACTGAATTTGAAGTTCATTTCCCATTGCTAAATCAAGTATGCTGATTTTAAATGAATTATAATTATTTATTTATTATTACTATTATTTAACAAAAAGATTTGCGAGATAAATAATTGTGAAAACAATCATGGGATAAGAATAGTAGACAATAAAGGATCTTAACAACAAAGGTACTGTTATAGTGTTTACTGCTTAGGCTTGTGAGGAAGGTTTTATGGATAGAGTGTAAAGAGATTCTTTGGTGCAGGTTTTTCGGTATCTTTCATAAGGGCAATTGGAAGATGTAATTTTTTTTAGTGTAATGGTGGTATTGAGTTGGATTCTGGTTCCTTGTGTAAAGTTGAGCTAGATCCTCATTCCTGTGCATGAGAAAATTCAGAAATGGAATCACTGGAGTTTAAAGGGTCGGAGAAAGTTATCACATGTAATGTCAGATTGGACTCTTGGAATACTATGTTTGGTCAACCCTCGGTTAAAGTTAGAGACTTAGAGTAAACAAGAAAAAAAGGAAAGAATAAACAAATACAACTAGCAAATTCTGGACTTGGATTAATATGAAAACAAATGAAAATAAAAGAGTAAAATGACAATTACCAGGATCAGTCATTCCAGGAGCAGTTAACTTTTTGAATGGCATGTCAAGGGCTAAATTTAAGGAGTGACGAGTTGCCAACTGTTCAGCAGTATACTGTGTGTTAGTGGTCACAGTGGTTCCTGAATTGATGGTTCCTGAAGTGCCACTGCCGTCTTTCTTTCGTAAAGCGCTCCACCTCTGCGAGTATTTGGATAGACCATGACAATGTGTAGTAGTATTAATACTGAATTAACAATAAAGGTGAAACGGAAACAAAACAATTGGTACAAAAAACTGTACGTGCAAGATTATCAACTATAAACCCGAAACAAATATTCATTTTACTATGACCTAAACCATCACTGATTACACATTGCACATCTTATACATGTCAGAAGTTGATTGAAGAGCACATGTAAAGCTCCGTTGCCGGGATTTGAACCCGGGAGAACTGGGCGATACCCAGACATCCTGACCTGACTAGATGACAACGGTTTAAAATAAATGTAGTGCCATCGCCCATCAGTCATCAGATTCCATTTAAATATAATATTTACAGAAAAACATGGAGTCGAGGAAGAGATAACATAACAGTGTACAGTTATACACTATAAAATGGCCAGCCTCAACAGGCACAGCTATAATAGTAGCACAAGCAAAAGTAAACTATCCCAATAAATAATAGATCTGACTGGTATAGATCTACCAAGAAGGCCATGTTAGAAGAGAAAAATTGCATACTAAGACAGATTTTTTTAGCGTCCAAGTCAACAAAAGCAACCCATCTATAGGAAACCATGGATCGTGACCTCCTATCAATAATTAACTTTAAATAATGCTTGCCACCATTATCTACCTTATGAATATCAGCATGTTAAGATAAACCAGATGAATTTTGATAAATATTCATGGTTGGCAAATTGACCAGTTTAAAAGTATCAACCACAAAGAGAATGAGCAATCAACCATGTTAACTTATTCTAATCTGAATTCTAGGCCAGAGATTATATAAACTACATATAGTTATATAATGCAGGATGAAAGGATATGTATAGTTCATCATTCTAATTGCCAAAGGATACTACTGATATAGGGCTACAACCATTAAGCAACCAAACACTAAACACACTACAAAAATTAATATAAAGGGAAAGTTTTGTTACAGGTTTTTAAATAAAGGAGGGATGATTTTGAAGAGAAAATGGGATTTGACACAACAATTGAAGTTGCTGCGTTGTGACGAAAAAGTCACTGGTTGACGTCATCAAATAGACCTCTTGTATATCTAAAGGAAGGCTCCTGGATTCCTCATGGCAGAAGCTATTAATCAAAAGAAATAATGACAAAATTGTTGCCTTACATGAAATATGCATGTGTGTGCTGATAAATGATATAATGAGATGGGAGTGGAGAATGCCACGTAATTCACAACCATTTAGGGTAGAAAACCACCTGTGACAATTGTGTTGCACTTCTCTTAATAGGAAAGCTGTCGCCTTTTGCTATGTTTGCCCAATTCCCCTCACCCCATTTCTGAACAGCAGCCCGTAGCTGATTGTCCTCTTCCTCTGACCATCCTTTTCTTTTCCTTTTGGAAGCCAGGGTACCACCAACTGTTCCTTTGGTATCTAAAGCATCTGAAGATGATACAGTTGGAAGTGTCTGTCTCTGGACAGTAACAGGAAACGTAATGCTTGTCTGTTCCATCAAATTAGAGGGCTGTGAAATTTCCCTTGGAGTTCTAAATGAATGGCAAACTGGAAAATTTACAGTCAATGGAGCCTCAATTGTTGAGCTACTAGGGGTAGCTTCACTTAGCGTGCGGGAAGCTATCATCACCTAGTGATTAAACAACACCAAGAAATACGATAGTCAAATTTGAAGAACAATAAATAGCACAAACAGGGTGTAAAAACATAGAAATCATGAAGGCTCTTAGGTATTCCAAACTAAATGGCACTCTACTTGGATCAACCAGCAGAAATGGACTTGATCAAAAACCATGTTTTTTTAGTAAAACCATCAGCAAATTCTTTTCAGTTGGAGTTTTCTATACTTTTTTAGGACTTCTGCCGATTTTAGTCTAAGCATATGTAACTTGATCCAATTTCTCCAATGAAACCTCCACTACTCTTCTAATGTCACCAAACCACATTAGGCAAGTTTCTGTTATCTTCTCCTTGATAGGTTCTACATCAACTTTGTCTCATATATTCATTAATAATCTAATCATTTTCTCTTATCCTTTTCAGCATTCTTGTTTTTGCTACACTTCTTTTTTTGCTTTTGCTGGTTCTTTCAAAGCCTAAAACATTACTAGTCCTATCACTGTCAGATAATAATCTGATAGAGTCCTCTTTATTGCTAGAATTATATTTATAAAGCTTCCCACAATCAGAAAGAAATTTGCAAAGTTTAAATGAGTGATTTCATTATGGGCCCTTCCTATAAATAAGACAAAATTTGAGAAATGTGCCACAAATACTGTTTCATTTAATAGATTCTAATAATATGATAATCAGATAAGTAAAATGTAACTAGCTAAGTCATGATCACAATTTTAAAATATTGAGATAGAATGTAATATTAGTATATTAACCTTCACACATGCTGAGCACTCTGGTGTAGATTCCGCACTTATAGAAGGTAACGGTTCCAGCTCATAATCTAGGTCACTGTCATCATCCTGAAAATATGAATCCAAAAAGGCATGAATAATACAAGTACAATATTTATCCAAGAATTTATGAAACAAAAACTCAATTAAAAAACAAGAGGACTGCTGATTTAGCAAACCTAGTCGCAGAGTTGTCAATCGCGGTGCACCGTAGCTCAATGACGGAGCTAAATGCTCAAATAAAGACAGCTAAAAGTTGCCACAAGTAAGGTGGTGCTAGGTGCAGACCACAATTAAGGCACTTTCGAGCACGTTGCAATAATTGAAAACTATGTCCAATTGAATGATCTCAGATCACATATACCAGTAGTAGTTTTAGCGGATATAGTTGTTTTTAACAGACACTATGTGTTAGTAAAGGTTTAGTTTGTAAAGTGCCACATAAGCATCATTACTTGTAACCAAGTGGCTGAGGATTAGTAGCTGTAGAAATGATTGTAAGGATTTAGTTTGTAAAGTGCCACATATTTGTAAAGTGTCACATAAGCACCATCACTTGTAACCAAGTGGCTGAAGATTAGTAGTTGTATAAATGATTGTAATTTGGATCTTCATATTCAAAAAATATAAAAGTTTGTTTTCTTAAGTTTTCACTCTATTATTTCGTCATAGAAGCTTCTAAAAAACCATGGGGGGAATTTCTCCTCTTCCAGCACTACCAACTCTACCACACAAAGAGGAAGCAATTCATGCTGAACCGCTGCAAACAGATTCTCCAGCACAACAATCAGATGTTTCGTCTTCTTTGCTCACTTTCACTCTGAAAAACTATTTCATCTAACACCAGCAAATTTCTCCTCTTTCAGCACTACCAACTCTACCACACACAGGAAGCAACTCATGCTGAACCCTGCAAACACATTATCCGGCACAACTATTTCATCTAACACCAACAAATTGATCCACTCATCAATGCAAATAATCTCCAACAATAGATCTATATCCCAGATATTCCTATGAGTTTTGATCAAGTGTCAGGGATTTAAAGTCATGTTTCTTGTGTGTGACTCAAATAAGGCAAGTGGTTGCTCTCATGGCTTCAATCTGCAGTGTCTTCCTCCATTATGAGGTGAGTACTTGACTATGTTATGTAAGTCATTGAAGGCAAATTTGAATCGGTTCAGCTTGAGGAAGTTGAGCTAGTCTTACTTGTGCGTGAAATGCAACTTCAGAGTTCAAGAATCAACTTCAAGCAGAAACTGCTTCTGTCAAACTTACTCAGTCCAAAATGCATGTTGATTCCACCTCAATTGCACTCTAAATTAGGTCAATCTCTCATCAGCACCTCCTTTGTAAACCATCTTCTCTGTTACAGCTCTTCTGGTTATGGTGGATCTAGTTGTAGCAGTGAACGATAGGCCGCAGCCGTGGCGTCATTTTACCAACATTCAATGTAAAATGTGCTTCAAATATTGCCTCCTTTTCTTCCATTCATGCAGTCAGTAGCATGTCAGAGACTTATTTTAGGCATGAGCCTGGCATTTTCAAAGGCCTAGTTGGCCTATTAGACTATTTAAAAGCTTATTTCGTCTGAACATATGTAGATAAGCAATTCATCTAATGTTTAAATAGACTAACAAATTAAAAAATATATATATTTATTTGCATTGACTTATCCTAGCTTACGTAGTAGCTTAGATTTTGTGAGACTATTTGTTTTTGAGAACTTATGAAAAACAACTTATGACATTACTCATAAGGTTTTTTCAGCTCATTTTCATAAGCTCTTCAAGATAACTAAGTTTTATTTTTGCATTTTAATACAAATTACAAAATACAATAAAATAATAAAAAATGTATTCATATTTATTTAAATGGGCCGTGCCGGTCTTATAGACTTAAAAGTTTTTTTTTTATGTTATGTGGCCTAACCTTTTAGTTATTAAGCTTTTCAAAAAGCCTAGGCCTTTTCTATTTAAAAAAAAAAGCTTGGTATGGCACGGGCCTGTGTATACTATGCCATAGACCTTGTTAGTTGGTCTGGCCTATTCCCATCCCTATTCATATGACTCTCATTGATAGATTGTTAAACGTAGATTAAGACATCTCAAGTGTACACTACAGTGTAGGCGGCTACGTTTGTTGACTACTCCTCTGCATTAGCCCATATCCAGGACTGGGTTTTGAGATTCATATTGGCCTGTTGATTGCAAGGCCACTTCTAGCCAGGCAATATATGTTTGTCCTAACTTGGTTTGCTCGACCGACTATTGAAGCAAGGTATCAAAAGTCTAGCTCAAACCACAACAAAACAAGTGTGGATTTAGAATCTTTTGTGAGAATTGAATGTGTCCTTCTACAAGGAGATTGGGAAAGCAGATGGAACGATGCACATCTCTGGGTCTGATTAAAAAGGGCGACACTCTAATCAAACCCTTGTCTTCTACAAGGTTCCTTTAAATCAAAGACAAGCTCAATGAGAGGGTGTGAGTATAGTCGGTTTAGCTCGGGTATAGATGGTTTCGTAAGTATGTGTGTTAGTAGTAATGAGTTAGAGTGTAAAATGGCACATAAGGATAAGTGATTGATACAACAATAGCAGACACAAAAAACGAAAGCCATCCAAAGTATAGGAAGGTTAGATGACAAGCTTGATATGACTAAATAAACAATCTTATGATTAAATATATCAATCCAGAAAACAAAGTAGAAGAAGTTACACAGACCATAGGATCATCCGCATCAAAATCGTCAGGCAAGGAATAGCGATACGCCAAATGACGCCATAGCATCTGATACTCTCTGGCATTAGAAATACCAGATGAGGTTTTGTTGACCAATTCATCCCAATCAAATTTCTTCCATGCAGGATAATGTGATAATTCCTGAAGCACAGTAAACACAGTCGTTGGATCATACCTGCACAACAAGAAGAAAAAATTGATCCAGAATAATAAAATAATAAAATAAAAAAATAAAAAAACAAATGGATAGATATAAAGTAAGGGAGCGAGAAGATACCGTTTAGAGACATTAACAGCGTCAATTTGGGAGAAGGTGAGCTTCTTAGAATTTTTTTCTGACATTGATAACTCTGGATTAAATCTGAATTCGGTAGAAAAATTGTTCCAGATGCATACGTTGCAAAACCCTAAACCCTGAGACGAAAGCAAAGAGAGTGAAAAATTGAACTAGAAAAAATAATAATGATGATAAAACGAAACAGAGTTGAATTGTGTAGAAGAAGAACTATTACGAACCGAAAATGAAAGTTGGTGATGGTGACAGTGAGACCGTTGAAGGAGTGAAGAACACTACTCTCTGTCTCTCTCCGAAGGGGAATACCAAGGGATTTTGGTAAATCAGTAAACAATACTGTTCATTTTAATTTAACTGATTTCATTAAATTATTATTACTAAATAATAACTACTACTTAATTAGTTAATTAATAGTATGTTCTAGACAAAAATAAAATACTAATAATTTTACCAAAAAGCATTCTTATTAAGTCTTGCTTGGTTTCCACTTAATAATTAAAAAGTTAAATATAATATTTTAAGAATAATATTATTGAAAAAAAATAGTGTTATCTTAAAAATAATAATATTTTTAAAAGGCTTTTACTAAAAATTATTATATATATATATATATATATATATATATATATATATATATATATATATATATATATATATATATATATATATATATATATATATATATATATATATATATATATATATATATATATATATATATATATATATATATATATATATATATATATATATATATATATATATATATATATATATATATATTCAATGATTGTAATGTATTTACAAATAGTTAAAATTTCATTGTGAAATTATAAGAATGTGATGATTTTATATATTTTGTTTCAATTCAAATCAATGATTAATAATACAATAAGATATTATGATATTGTTAACAAAATTTTATGTTTTGGATTTTGATATCATAATTTTTATGGTTTTAAATATTTATGAAAAAACAGTAAAAATGTATATGGATCTATGACGTAAAATTTTGTCTGGTTTTCAATTGTACTCTTCTCTCTTCCTTCTTTCTTAGAGCATCATTATCGGTTCCATGTCACCGTTTCTACACTATTATCAAAGTAATTGTTCTGGACTGGATCCAGGTTGACCCAAGAGCAAGAATAGGCCCAATTCAAACGGCTCTACAGGGGGCGCGTCGGCCAGAAGCTACGATTGTGCCTGCCACTGCCCGCGAACGCAATATCCTCGACTAGATACCATCCAGCTCGAGTTCAGCTCGAGCACCCTCCTCGTAGGGCATATTGTAACCGTTACACCCTCACCTGAACTCCGAAAAGACCGCGTCCTCGTCCGTCCGCACTTCTCGCAGAGCCAGAAAGAAGACCACGTGCGGATCCCCACTACACACGTAGAACCTAGAAGTTCCTTTATTGGGCCAATCCTGGTCGGCCCAATGAAGGGACCTTGGCCCAGCGCTGGGGGCTATAAATACCTCTGTTCCAAGAGGGTCAGGTATTCATTCTCTTACCATTCACACGCCATTTTGCCTGCTCGTACTGCCACTTACTTTAGCATCGGAGTGCCTTGCAGGTACCCCCCCCCCCATCTCGTTCAACTTCAGCTCGAAGCCAGTCGTGACGGTCCAAGTCTGATCAGGTAAGATCAGTGGCGCCATCTGTGGGAAACTAGCTTCCCCGTCTTGCAAAAACTCAAAGACCAAAGCTCAACTCAAACCATCACCGTCATGGCTGACCAATCTCGTGATGAACAAAACGTTCGCGTCGTCGACACCAACAACGGCCTCGCGGATAAAAACGGACACCTTGATAACGCCGGTAACCCCGGTCATAACACCATCCCTGTGTCAACTGCCCTCGGGCCCTCGATCCACCGCGACAGAGTTACCGCTTCATCCTCCTCGATCCCTCCGCCACTCGAAGAAGACGATGCAGCTCTCACGAACTATCAAGCTGCTCAGTTTCAGGAAGTCCCTGTCCCCGCCGGGGCGGATGCCACAACCCGAGCGTTGTTCGCAGTGATCAATCAGACGAATTACCTCATCTTCGCCCAAGGGGAAAGATTGAGGGCACTTGAAGACGATCGAAGACCCCCGAGGAGGCATCGGAGGCCCCATACTCCACCTCCTCGAGTAACTGAGGTCCGTTTCCCATCTCCCCCGCGGAGACACTACAGAGATACCTCTCGAAGCCCGTCACCCCGACCATCGGGGAAACGGCCCCCTTTGGAGAGGCAACCCATCATCGAAGCCGGGGGACGCGGTCGCGCCCCCGCAAGGCAAGAAAGAAGACACTCCAGAGACGGACACGGAAGAATCAACCAACGGGCACCGCGCTCGAGAGATGTCCAGCACGACCAGGACCGTCGTGCCCGACATTATTACAGGTCCCCATCCCTGTCCCCGAAAAGAAGCGACGAAGACGACCCCCGCGGTCCCCTGTCGCAGGCCATCATGGAGGCGCCCATTCCCCCGAGCATGGAGAAGCCTCCACATCTGAAGGAATACGACGGAGTCGCGGACCCGGTCGACCACATAGACGGGTTCGAGGCTATGTTGCACTATCACAACGTCGGGGGACCCATCAAATGCCGGTTGTTCCCCACGACCCTCAGAAAGGCAGCAATGGACTGGTATAAAGGCCTCGCCCCGGGATCAATCACCTCGTGGCAAAACCTGAAGAACCAATTCATCAGTTCGTTCACAGCGTCTCATCGACACCCAAAGACCGAGGCGGCTCTCGAGGCAATCGTCCAGAGACAGGATGAAACCCTAAGAGAGTTTATCAATCGCTTCAACCGTGAAGCTATACAGGTCCCCTGTGCGGACCACATGAAAAGATATCTGCTGGAGAGGGGGCTCCTCCCCGGCACGGAATTCAGAAAGGCCGTAGGCATCGAGCCACCTAGAACATTCGATGCCCTCCTCGAGAAGGCCCAGGCGTACATGGACTACGAGGAAAGAGAGGCGGCCAACAGAGCCCAAGACCCCAGGACTCGCGGGTCCAGCAGCAACCCGCGCCAGGAAGCTTCTCCTCCTCGACGAACCGGGGAGAAAAGAAAAGAAGACAGACCCCGGGAAGTCCGAGAACAAAGGGGACCCTCGGGGCGTTTTACCGAGTACACTCCGCTCACAGCTTCCCGCGAGTGCATTTTGGCGGAGTGTGCCAGCATGAACTTCAAGGACGGCGACGTCAAACATCCCCGACCTTCTCCCGCCAAGCTCGGAGCAGACAAGAACAAGTATTGTCAGTACCATAGGAGTCATGGCCATCTGACTGAAGATTGCGTCCATCTCAAGGACGCCATCGAAACTCTCATCAAGGGAGGAAGGCTCGCACAATACTGGTGAAACGACGCCCCTCGTCGTGACGCCCGGGAAACAAGGGAGCCGGAGGAAGACGCCCGACCATCTGACGAGTCGGTCCCTGTCCATACCGCCTTCTCCGTGACCAGACCCGAGGACTTCGACGTCCCCGAACACCTGTAGGAGCCGCTCACAACACACAGCAGGTGGGGATATTTCCCCTCCGCCATGGTCATCAACGGCGGAGGATTCAACGACTTGACCATTAATTCGGCTAAGAGGAAGCTGGATGAGCTGGTCGACGCGGCACCCCCGCAAACAGTGACATTTGAAAGGGTGAAGGACAGGTCAAAGCCCATCACCTTCTACCTAGAAGAGCTCCCCGGGGGAGCCCCCAACGCAGTCATCCCCTTGCTGATAAGGGCAAGAATGGCCAACTTCGATGTGCATCGCATCCTCGTCGACGAAGGAAGTTCCGTCGACGTAATGTACAGCCAGTTGTTTCGAACTCTGCAGTTGGACGACTCACATCTCTCGCCATATGTAGGGTCGGACTTACAGGGCTTCAACGGCTCGACCTCCAAATCTTAGGGATATGTCGAGCTCATGGTTACCTTCGGCGAAGGCACAGCGGCGAGGCAGGTTAAAATACGCTTCCTCGTCATCGACTGCCCGTCTCTCTACAACTGTATTCTGGGGAGACCAACACTGGCAGAACTGACAACGGTGCCCTCCACCGTCCACCTGAAGATGAAATTCTACACCAAAAGGGCACGGGTAGCTACCATCCAGGGAGACCTAGCCGCTGCTCAGAGGTGTTTCAACGCTGCATCTAAAGGGCGCAACACTGTCGACATCGGGACAAGGCCCGCCAAAAGACCAGCGACGATACGACAGGAACCTGACAAGCCAGAGTCCGCCAAGGAAGAAGTCCAGAAACCTCCACCAAAAGTCGACTCTATAGCCCTGGATGCTCGTTTCAATCAGGACGAACCTCCCAATGGCGAGCAAGTTCCACTCCGACCAATACCGGACGGGGATTTTGAGCTCGTCCCTCTCGGCACAGACCCGAGCAAAGGAGTAAAGATTGGCAAGGACCTCCCCGACCTAGCAAGGATGCAAATCAAAGCCTGCTTGCGCGAGAATGCCGACCTGTTCGCCTGGAGCACCTCAGAGATGCCCGGACTCGACCCTGAGGTCGCCTGTCACCACCTCGCCATAGATCCTGCCGCTAAGGCCGTAGTACAACTAGGCGTAGGCAGTCTCCAGAGAAAACAGAGGCTGCTGTAAAAGACCTCCTAGAGGCGAATTTTATTTCTGAAGCCCGGTATTCAATCTGGCTGTCGAACGTTGTACTTGTTAAAAAGAATAATGGAAAATGGAGGATGTGTGTTGACTATACCGATCTCAACCGGGCTTGCCCGAAAGATGCTTTCCCTTTACCGAACATAGACATGCTGGTCGACAACTCGGCCGGCTACAAGACGTTGTCGTTCATGGATGCTTACTCGGGCTATAATCAAATCCCGATGGCCGTGGGCGACAAACACTGCACGGATTTCATGACCAGCTCGGGCAATTATTACTATAACATAATGCCCTTTAGACTAAAAAACGCTGGGGCAACTTACCAACGTATGATGAACAGGGTTTTCCACAAGCAGATTGGGAACATGCTCGAGGTTTACATGGATGACATGATCGTCAAATCCCGAGCAGACACTGACCATGCAGCGCACC